AAAAAAAAGGAAAACTGCAGTTTTGTGATGCTTTATAGTATATTGGAAGATCTTTACGTCATTTATTCGATTTTAATTAATCTCACTTTATTCAGCAGCTAATTTTTTTAATTCTGAAACATCTTTAAAAAACAAGAAACAAAGTTTAAAAAAAGGGGAATAATGTATTTAAAAAATAAATTCCATTCTCAAAATGAATAAAAACAAGAAAATTATTACTACTAAATAAATAAAATGTATATAGAATGAACGAATTATCAGCAAATATAATTTTCATAATAAATTACAAGCTTATAACTAAAAAGAAAGCTATCGGTTTTTAAAGCGTTCCCCATATCAGTTCTTCAGAAGGACAGAGAGAGAAAAAGATTTTCAAAAGGGAGCAAGACCTCCCACCGAGAAGATTAGTGAACTTGGGGGTGGAAGTTGCCTTCCTCCCTTACTCAAAGGTAGAAAGTGACTTGTGTTTCAAAGGCAATATTACAAACAGTAATAAAGATAAAAAAAATTAACCTACATTTTCGTGGATAGAAAAGATTGAAAAAATTATTAGTATTTTTTTTAATTGATCACTCCGATTCTTGAACAGGAAAAATCGATTCAAAGTACGATAAGCCCGCCATAGACTTTACATGTTAAAAGCAGAATTGAGGAGTCTGCTTGGTGCAACACTTTTCTCCCGGCAACCACGATTCATGACCCTGATTTTCTGCTCTTTTGAGCGCGCCCCGTGTTCTTTGTTCGCCAAGGTCAAAAGAGTAATCATGCGTTTGAAAAAAGAAATTAAAAAAAAGGTATATTTTATTCCATCAAATGTGGATTATGGCAACTAGTAAACTTTTAATTTTGTAGCAAAACTAGTTCTGAAGTGTGGGAAGAGGTTTCTTCGTTTCTCAAGCATACGCGAAGAGCAGAGCTCGTTAAGTTGGTGGAACCTCGTACCAGACTTCGGAGATCACCTTAAAATAAGGTAATTATGAGGCAACTATTTTCATTACAAACGAAACGGTTTTGAGGCTTCGCCGCATTCTAGTTATGCATTTTGTTACTTATTGTAAGTACATGATGAAGAGTCACAGCGGCCCTGGAGATAAAGCACTCTCCACCCAGTCAGGTAAACCAGGTTCGAGTCCCAATGTTGGCTGATCAATAAGAATTCTGCTCCGGGCTCATACCGACCACAGTGCTAACATAAGATATCCTCAGTGGTAGATCGATCATACGTTAGAATCCTCTTGCCACTGGGCTTACCGTGAGAGGTGCTCGTGGCTTTCCCTTTCATACAACACAGCATACGTGGGTGAGTTCCATCAAAAAGTCCTTCACGAAAGCTAGTTTGTCAAAATGCCTGGTCTTCTAGATTGGGTTCAAAATTACAAGGCCACGGAGGGGAACATTGATATTCGTAAACTCAGAATTGGATCAGTTGTTGAACGCCAATTATAAAATAAAAAGTACATGATGAAAATGTTTGGAACACCGCAGGTCCATTTGAATCCAACCATACTTGAAGACTGGGTCTGGGAGAGAGGTTTTGCTCATCCCAGTAATAACTGACGTTAATACCTCCAAGAAACTGAAAGAGAAAATAGTACCATGAGAATTTAAGGCAGATAGCTACAAACTACGATAGTATCAATGTACATAATAAGAAAAATTTGTACGATGCGTCATTTTGTGATTAATTTTTTGCTTAGCTGCAATCACTTCTGCGCTTTGCCATATTTATACATAATATTATACTTTGCATAGATGCTTTCAACTTCGTAGAATAATTTTTAAGTTATAAAAAAATCTGAAATGGATTTTGTTTAAATGTTTTCTTTTTTTTTAGTTTTTTTTTTTTTTTCCCAATGAGTTGTCATTGGTTGAATAATTATTACGCAATGAAAATGTAACAAACTAGTGGCTACAGTTAAAATTTTAAGTCTTGTTATTTAACTGCGCATATTGAAGATAAATTTACAAAATCAAAGATGGCGTGTTTAAATGATTGCGTGAAACGTCAATTTCCATTACAAAACATGAAAGATGTTATTCAACTTTTTAGACAGCAAATTCAAAACAGTGATGAGCCGAATTTAGCATTACTTTCAATTGTGGCCGGATACTTAGAAAATATGTTTACCTGTAACAGAACTTTGCCACTAAATTGTGACGTAGAAAATGCCCTTGAACCTCTCTTTCCGACGGTTGATTTATCTACTATAGAAGCACTATATGAAAAGTTCAAATGTCAAATTAAGGGGTCTGTTGATTTGACACAATATAAAAGTACCCGGTTCGCTACTCGAGATTTAGTTAAGAAAGTATCAGATATTATATGGGGATCTTTAACTAGAAGTTATTATAAAGACCGTGCTCATCTTCAATCACTATATAGTTATTTAACAGGTAACACATATGTTTGATTCAAATGTAAACATAAATGTTATCTTGTTTATAAGGAACTGAATATTATTCTATTTGTCAGCTCATGTTACTTCAAACATACAAATCACGTGTGTGTCAAATGCCGGCAAAATAATGTAGTTTATGTATATACATATTTATGTTAACTTATTATTAGTTGGTTTTTAAAATTGTTATTTATTCCTTAAAAACGCATAAAATGCATATTAATTAATTTATTATGTGATATTAAAGCTCCAATAAGGTATATATGTATGTCTGGATAGTAGAAGCCTTTGACAGGTTGGTCAAAAATGTAAACAAACATTGTTTTGCCATCTACTAAACTGATTATTATTAAAAATCAAGTATTTGAATGGTTTAAACTAAATTAGAATCAAGTTCTTGATTTCAGTATTGCAAACAGTGTATTTGTTGCATCTTTCTTAAAAGAAATATGTGAATGCTGTTCAACCTTTTCGAATTATCTAGTACATACATGGTTTAGTTTTTTTAACTTTTAGTTCAAATATCACTTTTGTTAATTTTCTCTTGTCTTTTTTATTAAACACAATATTTCTATTTCTGATTTGTTGTTTTGCTTTACATTGTTTTTGTTTAAAATTCATTGCATTGAATGTATTTTTTTCTGCCTGATGAAACTAAGATGTAACTATGAAAATAAAGTAATTTTTCAATTAATTGAAATAATAAATGAGTGTATGTTGTAAGAAAATACAACTTCAATTAGCATATCTATTAGTGAAAAAAATTTTCATTATATTTGAATGTCATATATTTCTTTTGTTTATAATTTTTTGTTTTGTTTTCAATGAATGTGCAAATTGCTGTAAAATAAAATTATATAATTGAAATAATGTAAGTCATAAAAAATTTACTATATTAATGTGCAAATATGACGATATGGATATTATGAAAGATTATTTTTTCTCCTTTTGGCTTTAAAAATGATTTATTTTATCCACTTTTAAAGTTCTTGACCTTTACTTATTAATTGTTTCATAGATTAATAGTTTTCCCTCTAAAACTATATAACGTGAAAGCCTATGAATGTCATACTATGAAATTTATAACATGGCTAAATTATTAAAAAAATAATTATAAAAAAATAAAATCAATTAAATGTTAATAAAATTTTTAAATTTTTTTTCAATTATAGTTTAACTTTTATTTTATTAAAGTGTGTGCCTAATTTCAGGAGGGTATTCTATGGGGATCATTAGGAACAAAATTAATTATTTCCTGTTAAACATCAACAGAAATGCTAATTTTTCTCAGAAATTGCTTTCAAAATTCTAAGATTTCCGTATCATAATCTGCGGCATAATAATTGCCAAGTCTTGGCAGCTTCCAGGCTGCAGCTTACGAGACACTAGGAACAAAACATGGTAGTAGGAGATCAATTTGAAGGGTATAACTCCTGGGACAATATCTACTTGTTTTTTTATTTCGTTTTAAAAAAAATTGTGATTATGGTGGATGACAGATCACGGTACAGAAATATCCCCCTTAAAATAAAATAATTCATAATGTGTTTTTGCTGCATAATTTGTCATTATTGGACTAGAAAATATTTTTTTTGTATTATCCCATAAGAATACTTTTTTAAATTTTGTACACTTATTACTATTATACTCTTATTACTCTAAGTCAATTAGTTTTCAAGTTATAGCTGTTTAAAAATTTAAACTGCATGAAAGTTGACACTTGTTTTTTTCACGTCAGATGCTGGTTTATTTAACATGCCAAAAATAATTTAAATTTGACTTGTTGACCTAATAAAAAATCTTTTTGGTTGATATGGAATTACACAAAATATACCTTTATTTATATCTAAAATAGATTTTAAATTTAAGAATCATTTTGTAATATTGTAAACAAAAAAAGGGGACGGGGTTGATCTTAAGTTTTATAAAGACAAATTCCTCGTGGTCTTTTGTTGGAATCGGGTTGTATTAAAAACCCTTGATGCTGTTCGTTCTGGACTAGGTGCCCTGTCCATCTGGTTCTATTTCAAATCTTTATTTCAATATTTCAAAATGTCTAATAAATGAAGATAGAATGTATCATTGCTTTTTGCAAAACTTATAATCGATGTTTTTTTTTTTTTTTTTTTTTTTTNTTTTTTTTTTTTTTTTTTTGTCTTAATTCTAGTGATGTCTTAATTCTTGCGAAAATAGCTAACTCTAATAATATTTCAGTTGTCTTTTTCTTATTCCGAGTTGTTTACTGATTGTTTTGCTGTGTTTTTATAAGTTTTAGGAAAAGAGAACAAATCTAGTTTCTTGCTACTCTTAAATAAGGAAGCAAACTTGAAAAATTCACAGAAAATTTTTATCTAATGTTTTTTTAAAATGCTAAATCAGTCACTTAATTTGTTTTTATAAAATAGACTTATTTATTATTTTGTAATTTTTAAGGGTGAAAAAGTTATTTATGTAAATTTAAAGTGTGCGTGAATTGATTTATTTTAAAGTTTTTATAACTGTTTTGCTTATATGATATGGTCCCAATAAATCTCGGGCTTCTGAGATTGGTAGGTGTGTTGAAGTTAGATATCATCAGCTTAAAAATTATATACAATAAGCAATTTTTCTTAAAGAATTAAAAGCTATTTTGTCATATCTTTCTTTGGTAGAAGTATTTTTAACAGAAGCTATTATTATTTTCAGGTAATAAGTTGGATTGTTTTGGAGTAGCATTTGCAGTTGTAGCTGCATTTCAAGTTTTGGGTTTTAAGGATGTTCATTTAGCATTGTCTGAAGATCATGCATGGGTCACTTATGGAAAAGAATCTGAAGAGACTGCAGAGGTTACTTGGCATGGTAATGAAATGTCAATCCAATTAATTGTATACTCCAGTTGTCCAAAAAATTAACAAGGATTTGTTGCATTCTGAATAAGTAGCCAGATTTTATTATCAAGTCTTAAAAGTAGTTTCAAATTTTGTCAAAATATAATGAAATGTTTTCGAAGTAACCAATGTTTCAATGGGAATGCCCCAACATGTTGTAAAAAATATTGTTATGCAGCTTTTTAATAAGCAATAGTCTTAGTTGATAAACTTTAGCTAAACTAATTTTTTTTTTATAGAAATATCTCGTTTCTTAAACATAACGCAGCTAACTATACTTCTCTACCTCCTGTTTTTTCTTCTCAAATTGATGTTTCAAATGTCATTTTTTAGATACCTGATACTTTGCTTAGTTTTTTAATTTCACAATCTGTTATGCATGTACTGTTATGTTGTAAAAATATTAATCACAGTTTTTATTTATTATTTTCTTTTAATTCATGATGTTTTATAACTCTGCTTCTTCTTAGTCTTAGTCTTTTAATCCTTTATTTCCAAGGTATCAGTCTCCATACCCTTTTTAATATCCTGAGGGTATTAGTATAACTTAAATTTTTTATTTGAATTGCAATTCTTTTAGTTTTTCATTTATTATGATTTGTAATTTTTTTCCCATTCTCAATATCATAGGTAAAGGCAATGAAGATAAAAGAGGTCAACCTGTTGGGCTTGGTGTTACTGAAAAATCATGGCTTTATTTAAATGGTTATCCAGTCAAATGTACTCGCCGAATGGAAGTTGCAGCTCTAGTTTCTGGAATAAATCCTTCTATTAATGCAGTATCTGATAGCATTGAGGTTGCATGTCTTCAGCAGGTTTGTATACTTTGTAATTTTTATGTGATAAAATTAGAGTAAGATATTAAATTTTTACAGTTCCTTCATTAGGGTTGAGTTTTTTCTTCTACTTTTTTGGTTTTATTTAAAAGAATTTGAATTCGGCTTTTTTTTAAATTTTTTTCTTCAGAACAATAGATATCTGTAAAAAGAATGCATATGATTCGATTTTTCTGTCTTGCAAAAAAGTTCCCCCTTCTTAACACTGAATTGCAAATCATTTTTACTAACATCAGATGAGGTAAAGCCGATAGCCACCAGGAATGTACAAATATGGAAACTTCACAAAGGGCGTGTTCAAGCATGCCTATTGTCGCCTGGGCATTTAGTTTTTCATTTGATTTACTCGACATTGATATAATTTTTTCCCTTTTGCATTTTAGTTTTTTTTTTTTTTTAAATTTGTATTTTTTCTAAAAAATTTGAATTATTAAAAAAAATTTTTTTTTTTAACATTTAATAGTGTAAAATAAAATGATCTCATCTATTTCTATTTTTAAAGGTAAGCAATTCATAATAACTGGTATAATAAACTCTGCAACAAAGTCTGCAAAATACACAACATGTAAAATGTAGAATTTTTTTTTTTTAGACATATATTTCCCAAAATTGAAAAAAATGTCTAATGAAATCGAAACTGGGAAACTCTGAAAATTCTACGCAATGCTATACCTGTATATTGTCATGTAAAATTTGATCTTTTCAAGTTCTTTCTTGTAATTCTTTTATCTATCTCGTTTTCTTGCACATGTGATCTCATAGTCCTCAATAGCACATTGCATATTACAAATAGCATATTTCATGTGATTTTAATATCAAACATTGTGGTTTTTATTTATTCAAATTAAAGTTTGCAAGTCGCGATTCACACGTTTTTGAAATTAAATTGTGATCCCTACTCACATGATTTTAAAATCAAACATAACGATTCATATTAAAGTGATTTAAAAATCAAACCTCACGTTTCATAGTTGTGTGATTTACAAATAAAACTAGTTTAATTTAGTGCAATTTTAAAATTGTGATTTGTATTGATGTGATTTAAGTCATAATAGTGTTTCAAATTCACACAGTTCAAAAATTAACATTGTGATGTATATTCGTGCATTTTAAATCAGCACATTTCAATTAATATTCATGTAATTAAAGATCAAACATCATGATTAATAACCATACGATTTTAAATCCTAACACTGCATTTCTTATTCTCGAGATTTAAAAGTTGCACTTTGCCTATCAACTTATCGAGCATATTGAACAAGTTTATTTCCCTCTTAATAGGCTAAATAAAGTTTTAGATATAAAATTTTTGGATTCCTGTTTTAAATTTTTTTTTTATTTTTGGTCAAACCCTGATATATCATATGTTCTCTCGAAACCTATTTCAAAGTTGTGAGTTAAGAAAATACAAAGTTTATTTCTTGTAGACTGACACAATTTCTATAACATTAGTTTTTAAGAATATTTTTATTGAGTTTTGATTTCAATGTGGAATTTGAATTGATAAAATATTTTGAGAAACAGTATGGCATTAACAATTATTTAAAAGCTCAGGTATGGGTAGTAAGTGTGGTATGGGCTTATAACTTTATAATACTATTGAATCATTTTATGTCTTTTTTTAATTTTAGTATGAGTATAATACCTGAAACTCAGTGTTTAATACATTGAACAACATTTAATATAATTTTATCACTTCAAAATAATAATCTGAATTTTTTTGTTTATTTGTATGCCTTTGTAAACTGATTGCATATGTAAAAATATAATTGGCTTTACTCTCGTTGGTCAGAGTTTTTAGTTGTTGTAAAAAATTATAAGAAGGGTTAGAAATTCAAGTAATCTTATGACTAGTCTTATGACATATAAAAATCTTATTATTTGATTGAATTATTATCTAGTGGATTTTATTTCAAGACCCATAAAATGAAAAAATGCACTTTAAAGTTTCTTACTATCTGTAAATTATGCTGAAAATTAAAATTTAAAAATTTTTTATGTAGTAATTAAAAATAATTTAAATTATAAATACGTTTACCTAATTGAAATTTATTTAAAAAAATTATCTTCTTGATAAGCTTACTTCTTTCTAGGGTATTTCTAAATAAAAATTGCATTTTCTACCAATATTTAGAGCCTGAATCTCAGGAAGTTTTAGAATTATAATCATATTTATATTAAACTTTTCCCATTGTTTATAATTTTGTATAGCTTAGCTTTAATTTTTTTTTCAAAGTCTTTTCACTGTAATTAGAAATTTGCTGTTTTATTTTCTAATTTTAAATGTTTTATTATAGCAACTCTTATGGTTACTATATGATTTAAATCATCTTAAAACATATCCAATGGCTCTTGGAAACCTAGGTGATCTGGAAGAAATAAATCCTAGTCCTGGCCGTCCACCACCTATTGATTTGTTTAGAGAATCTATTTTAGCTGCTCAAAGCTTTTATTGTAATATGCATGTATATCCATACACATATATGGGTGGCTACCTTTATCGAAATGGACGGTATAAAGGAGCTTTAGAAGCATGGGCAAATGCTGCTGATGTCATCAGGAAGTATGTTTTTTCCCCCCTTAATTCTATTGTAGCTTAAAACCTTACTTTATCAAAACTCTTGAATTTTGTTTCTATGACTCTTTTTGTTTTTTATCTCGTGGTACAACCATCTAAAATGTATTTAAAATATTTTACTATTAAATATATTTTACATTAATGTATGAAAAGGTGTTCTGTGTTGGTATTTTGTTAAACTTAGTCTCAACTATTGATAATTTACTATGCCTTTTTTATAAAAATAATTTCAAAGGTTTGGTTTTAAAATATTTTGGAGATTATTACTGTGTGAGTAATTTAGTTGCGTAAAATTTTGAAGTTAATTTATGTAATGTTTGCTACATCACATAATTAAAGTAAAATATCCTAGAGATTCAGTTTGTGACATTTATATCACTGGAACATGCATTATATGCAGATGACTCATTTATTATATGACTATTTATTATTAAAAATACTTATTTATTTTTTAAAATATGATTGCTCTTACATATTACAAGTATCGAAACATTTTATTCCATCTATAAAAAAAAATGTTAATTTTGTAATAATACTATAGCATAGATAAACATTTATACTATATTAATAAACTGATTTCTATTTATATAAATATAGAATTTCAAGGATAGAATTTTATTCTTTCAATTATTTTTTATTTTATTATTTTTACTTTCTTTATTTTGAATGATGTTAACTAGAAATTGAAGGAAAAAAAATTTGTTTATAAGAAATATTTCTGTATATTGGTTAAAAAAATATTTTACCTTTAGTATAAGTGACAAAAACCACTGCTAAATTTAATTTAGATGCTTTTTTAAAAATGCAAAAGGAGATAATTGTCAAAATAAGAAATTTTGATAGATTCATATCGTTAATATGGTATCTTTTTAGAATTTTTCAAATTCTACATGGGATTTTTTTTTAAAAAAATATTTATACCAAACATATGTTTTTATAAATAAATTAGGAATAAAATGTTTACACAGTTTTGCTCAGTAAGATGAACATTATAATATGTTATAGAATTAAATGTAATTATTTATTATGACAAATATATGCATCACACTAATTAACCCATTTATACAAAAATAAAAGCTGTTCAGTTTAACTTACATATTGTATATCTGAATTTTCAGGAAATAATAATTTTTAAAAGATAATAAAATAATTTTATGCAATTGTGATTTAGAGTACCCATAACTGCCAACTCTTCTAGGTTTGCCCCGGGTGATTTTATTTTCATATTTTAAGTAGTAGCGAAACTCAAGTTATTATGTTAAACTTTTTGAATTATAATAATAATTGTAAAGGAGTTTGACCACCACTACGTATAAATACTTACAAAAAATATGATAATAGTCTGCAAGATAGCAGAATCCAACTCGATCAAAATTTCCATATATTTTTTTGTAAGATTGTTTTTCTGTAACTTTCACTTACTTGGTAAATCCATTCTTGGAAAGACTGAAAGTTGGCAGGTATGAGTACTTATCAATGTTAAATAAATGTCTCCCATTCCAAAACTGATTTGTTATGTCCCTGCACTTGTTTGGTGGTTTCTTTTTCTCAACTCTTGAGCGTTTTTATTGGCGCTACTTTCGCCACATGTGGAAAACAGAATCAACTATTCCAACTTTATTTCAAAGTTCGCTTGAATTAAAATAATTTATTAACAACACAAAACATGCATTTCATAAATAAATAGGCTGCAGATCTATATTGAATGTTATCTCCCAGGCAACAATTTTGTTGCTTGTGTGCTGCAAATTTTATAAAAATATAGCAATATATATCTACAAAACTATCATTTAATGATGCTAAACAGGTATATAAAAAAGATGTGATAATAAGCACATTGAAGTTACTTACTTGTGAAACAAGTATATCTGCACAGTGCTTAAAAAATTATTCGAGTCTTCTTAGTTCAGGCAGTGTAGATATATTGGAAGGAAAAAAAACATACAATTGTTTTACCTTAAAAATACATCAGTACAGGTTTTTTGGGCAAATTTATTCCAGAAAGCCTTTCTCTTCACTGTCTCCTGATCATCAAACTTATTTGTGAATGCAAGTACAATTCAAACTTCACATTGGGGGCCCGAGACAGCTTGGTTCATAGGGCACTGGGCCCATGTCCAATAAGTCGTGGGTTCGAACCCCGATAGTCGAAGTTTCCTTGTGTAGTAAATGGTGACCGATGCACGTTAAATCTGTTGAGTCTCAAAGTCTACCATGTTCCCGTAACAAATCATACCTCTGGGGGTACTGATCCAGGAGTTTCCTTGTCTTCTGGATTGGTTCAAAATTACAAGGCTACAGAGTTGAACATTGGTTGTCATAAACCCAAAATTAGGTCGGCTGCTTAATGTCGCTTATAACATTATAAAAAAAAATTCCACATTGACAGTTAGTCGTTGATGTTAGAAAGAAGAAAAAAACTGTGCTAATGCATAACAAATCAGTACCCCCATTTTAACTGGTAGTGATTAAAAAACATTTTTAACATACAACTGTCGACTCCCAAAAAAATAATGAATCTTTTTGTAGGTATAATTATGGTCGAGAAGATGAAGAAATTTACAAAGAATTTTTGGAAATAGCTAATGAGTTGATTCCACATATTGTAAAAGTCGTTAGTTCTAACGGTTGTGAACCATCGGGTCGGGCTGATATTCCTCTCTTACAAGATCCTGAATGTTTCGCACATTTACTGAGGTTTTACGATGGACTTTGCGAGTGGGAAGAAGGTTCCTCTACGCCAGTGCTTCACATTGGTTGGGCAAAGCCTTTAGTTTCTACTATATCTAAATTTCCTGGAAATGTGCGTTCTATGGTGGGTATTACGGTTCCTGAAACTAAAGTTGAAGATGATGACGAGGTAAAAGTTATTGAAAATGACAAAACTGAGTCTGATAAACCTGTGAATAAAGGTAAAAAAAAGAATTCTTTGAATGGTTCTTCAGAAGAAAAATTGAACAAGCTGCCCTCTAAAGGAAGGAATTACACACCTGACAAAGATAAAGGAGGAAGAGGTAAGAGAAAAGGGTCTACTGTAGGCCAAGAAAATGAATTTTTACTAACATTAGAGACACAAATAAATTCGGATGAAGAGCCTCATCCTAATATTATGGCTCTGGCAGCTGCTTGTGGTGATAATATTTTGAATCCTGAATATTTATTAGGGTCAGGGGAGCCATTCTCATCCCGATCGTCAAGTGCATCTTCGACAACAGAAGCAATTGATAACAATAAGTCTAATGGAACTCCTGTACCTGATCTCACTACTGTTGATGCAGGATTGGATATAGATTCATGTACAGCTTTTTCTGAGGTATATATATTTTTAGTTCAAAGTTACTTTATAAATTTTTAGTATTGACCTTTTCGTTTTGTTTTAAAATCATTATTGTCGTTTAAACCTGATATAATTATTTAGTCATTCTAGTTCTAGTATCATCAGAAGTTAAAAATATTATAAATACTTTTCTAATAATGAACGAACATAAACGAATATTGCAATGTATATATTTTTTAAGATAAATTTTTTTAATATAATGTTTTAAAAGGGTTTCATATTTCATGAGGTTAATGTAAGCAGAATTTATTTAAATAGTTTTTGCAAAAGTACCTAACCTGTTTTTTCTTTTTTTAATTTTATTTGTTCTGACACTATTAAGTATCAGAGCTTAGGAAACCTCAAAATTTTTTAAGTGTCCGTCATGATGTTTTCCAAAATCTGCTGGAGATTTTAATCTATGAAGTCTATGCTCGAATATAACTTTTACATTTTATTCCACAGCAACCAATGATTCACAAAAAAAATGTTTCTTAATGATGCACATTAATGAAAATATACAAATGTATATATTATTAATCTGTCGAAATTTACAACATATCTACTTCAAATCTTGTACACTATTTGACTGACCACCCGAACAAAACATCTGTTCCTGCACCCCAGAGCCTAAGGTCAAGACAACTGGAATGGGCACTGTAGGTCTTGGGCCTTTCGTTTGCACACTTAATTCTACACACGAGTAACATTCTATCTACATGAACACATTAATTTTAAGTATGAATCTAAGGCTGAGCGCTAGAAGCTTTTGCTTTCCTCAATGAAATAGATATCCCACAAAATCAAATTGATAATTTGTAAGCTACAAATTGTTTGTGGTCGCCCCCTTTTACACGGTAGACGCTAGAGGACGTGGGCTTGAATGGCGAGATGGCCACTCGCCTGGTCAGCAGAACAGGAGATAAGGAGTGATAGATTTACGAGGAATTAGAATGTAGAACGCCTTATCTTAACAATTTGTTCTTGTGGAATATAACATTTCTTTCAATTTGTTTTTGTGGGATATCTATTTCATTGAGGAAAGCAAAAGCTCTTGCGCTCGCCCTAAAGTAATAAATAATATTGACAAAGCAGTATTAGGTATTATTAACAAAGACATATAAGGCCTTGATGGTGTTAATCGTCTTAATCCTGACCATTGTTATTAACAAGGAATTATTATCAGAATTGTTAATTATCAGCAAGTGTTCAGTATTATCATTAAATCCTTCAATATGTTACTTTAAAACAAAGCTTTAAAAATGATATTATAAAAACAATCTTACTCTTGTTTCTGTGTTTACATTGCCATTTTAGTTTTTATATTAATTATTTTCAGAGCTATTGGCAAATTTCTTTTATAAATAAAAATAAGCACTGCTAGAGTAATAAAAAATAATAAACTATTATAATAAAATATAAATTATTACTTACGTAATTAAAATCAATAATAATTGGTTTTTCTTCTCTCTACTTTGGCCTCCCTTTGTATTCACCCTTAAAGGCATTCTAATATTTAATCAAAATTTATGGGTTGAGAAATTGTATTTTGCAGTATTTAGGTTTCAGTAATTTATCCTTATCTGCCCTATATACTTAATTTGAAGAATAGTAAAAATGAAGATTGCATGCGCGATTAGAATTTTAACATGCCAAATAATATAATTTTCAAACCCTTTTAGTTTAAAGTATGTTATATTTTGTTCTAACATTTAATATTGGTTTTACTAATTTATTTTTTGATTTATATATGCATAAGTTTATTCCTGAAAAATAAAAATTTTGAAAATTGAAAATGCTTATAAATTTTATCAGTTTTTGCATATTTTATATATTTTTAATAATATTAGGAGTGTTAATCCACTAGAACAACTAATGTAATTATTGCATCAATGTGTGTTCAATCTGCTGAAAATGGACCATACCACATCAATGTGCACAAGCAAAACCTAAAGTTAAGCATATAAAGAAGTTAGTTTGTACATGATTTTCATGCCAATACACCATTTTTCTTAAAACAGAAAGATCCGTTTTTTCTTCTCAGGGCGATAAACATAGTTAAAATTAATTACAGCTACATGAAACATGTAAATGTTTTTATGAAGGTGATTGCATTAATTTTCTAAAATTCATATATTGATAATTTCTATTTTAAATGCTTTTTTGAAAACATACCAATCTTGATTATCTATTGTGAAAAAGTTTATTTTTTTAATCAATGAATTGCTTTCTACTTTTATTGGTTTTTAAGTAAAATTATGCTATGTTAAAATTCAGTATTATTATCAAGTAAATAATTGTTTTATCCTTAATATGAACAAATTTTTATTTTAGACGAGCATATCAAATGAATTTATAACAGAAGATTTTGATTGGATTCTATAAAAGTTTTGGTTGGATCCTATACAAAAATATTAAATTATGTTAAAGATTTGTTTATTTTCTTTTATAATTTCAAGAAATTCTTTTATATTTCTTTCTTTAGCTGTCAGGAAAAAATTTTACTTTTGACAAATATATATGTTTTAACTAAATATTTTTTACGCATTCAATAATTCCGTCTAAAAATGTACATGTTTTTAGGTCGATGAAAAAAAAAATCAATGATTCTGCCTGTGTTACATTAACAAGTCAGATAATGAAAAGACTGAAAGATCTGCTTGGTTATTTTTATTTGTAATTTTAAGAAATTCTTTTATATTTCTTTCTTTAGCTGTCAGAAAAATGTTACCTTTGACAAATATATATGTTTAAAAAAAAATCGGAATCAAACTAAATATTTTTTACGCATTTAGAAATTCCGTCAAAATATGTGCATGTCTTTTTAGGTCGATGAAAAAATCAATGATTCTGCCTGTGTTACACTAACAAGTCAGAAAATGAAAAGACTGAAAGATCTGCTTCTGGCTGAAAAATTAAATACATCTGCAATCCAGTTACAGTTAACAGCACAATCTCAAGTACAGGTGGTCAAGAGAGGTCGCCAGGCTAATGAATTTGAGTTTGGAGCTGGGGGCCGCACAACGAAAAGGAGCAGAAGAGAGTGATGGGCCATAGTCAGGCCGCCTTGTCCAAGTGTGATACTTACTGAAGGCGACGGAAGAAGTAGTCGCAACTGTGATTTTGCATGTGTATATCACTCATTGTCAGACTTCTTCCTTCTTCATATTTTGAGTATTGTAAAAAAGGGATAAAGAAGTTGAGTTTTAAAGAAGACTAAAAAAGGTTATGTATATAATATAATAACTATTCATACTTTTCTTGTAAAATGTATATTTAAAGATCAAAACTAGCTTTGTTGATAAAAGTATTACTTGTTTTATTGACAATTCTATAAATATTTGCCTTGTTCTTAGTCTAAGCAAATTAAAATATTTTAGTATATGTTGGCAATGTTGTTAGTTTAACATTGGATAAAAAATTTTAATATGTTAAAAGTCTATAACTGTACATTTTAGTGTTGATTGTTGTGTTATATATTTGAATCTTGTTTGTACATTGTTAATATGTGTTTTTTGCTTCATATTTTAGTGTTTATTTAAATACTAATAACAACATATTAAACTGGTTGTTTCACTATTACTTTTCTAAGCTGTAAGGTAGCACTGAAAAATCTGGATTTTTTATAACAAAAATAGATAAAAAATATGCTTCTATTAATTTTATTCTTTTTACTTGAGTTTTCCTTAGCGTTTTTTTTTTTTTAAGTGAACATTATTAAGTTTTTAACCTTTAACACTCATTGGGGTTCGTTATAGAATCTTCACACTTCTGTTATTATTTTGATGATGTTCTTTGAAGATTCTGTTGTCATATAAAATAAAGCTTTTAAGCAAAAAAAAGTTTTTTTTTACTGACCGTTATGAGTTTTGATCAGTTACAAGTTATATCCAACTTTAATCAGCCACTTATATGCTAATTATGAATATGGTACAATATGAAGAATATCTACAGCTTTGTGAAAATGATATGTCATTCGATTTTTTGATATTCAAAGAAGAGTTGCTACAAAACTGCATTGTTTGTACTTAAACAGTTCTGAGTTCTTCAATGATTTTAACAATTTTCATCTATTTGTAAAAATCTTGCCAACTTGGCCTTTTTTTTTTAAAAAAAATTGTGAAATTATATATATATTTAAGTTATATATTCATCTTAAAGTACAGACATTCTGTTCAACAAGATATATATTCTGCAGTTTAAGGCTGACTGTGGTCATTTTTATTTTCCTTGGCAAAAGTCCTTCACTTAAATAAAAAATGTTAAAGGTTAATATGAACCTTCAGGGAGTCGTTCCTGAATTTAAAGTAGTATGTTTCACTTTACGAAGTTTTACTCTTAAAAGAAATATAATTAATATGATTAGGTTTAAAAAATAACCTATCATTATTTATTTTTGATGACTTCAGATCATAAAATCAGTATTATTATATAATTTGAAGCAATAAATTTTTTTTGTTGTTGTCAAAATTTAATTTCATAAAGCATTTGCTAATGAAAATAGTGTGTAATATATTTTGGTACATATTTTCCAATTACTAATTTTCTTAAGACTTATGATTTTTTTTTTTTTTTTAAGAAATGAAATTTTTTATTTTAAGTAGGTGTATATATATATATCATCTTTAATATTATGAAATTGTTAGAAAACGCTTTTTGAAAGTATACCGATGCTAAATTTTTTAATTTTGCACCTGGTGAGTTTCTAATTTATTTTTGTTGTTTTTCAAATATATTTTTTTTATTGTTAAAAAATTGGGAAAGAAGTATAAAAAAGAGAAGAAAATGTTTAGTTGAGGTTTGAAGCATATTTTCTGTCAAACAATTGTTTAGCTGAGATTTAAGTCTTATAATTCTGATTTAGTGTGTTTCTTAAAAAGCTTAATTATTTGTAAAAAGATTAACAATTTTTAACCCAGTGATTTCTATAATTATTTTTACTTCTTTTAAATCATATGCTGTTTTCTATTGAAAATATCTTAGTTAAGTTTGCTGTTTCTTCTGATCATTTTCAGTCATTCTTTGTTAATGTACTTATTTATGAGAAAAATTTATCTGAGATTTATAAATTTAGTGTTATTTAGCTGAATTTCATCTACTTGTTTTACAAATGTTAATATGCATTTATAAATTGTTTTATTTATTTTACTCTTTGTTAACAAAAATAGCTTACCTTGTATTTTGCATTTAAAAAGATTTTTGTAGTTTGAAATTTTTTCCCCATTACCGTGCAAACCATTAATTTATATAAAATTCATGTGCTCTAAAATTTTTAACTTTTTAGATCTGATATTTGTGCTCATAGGCTTTAGTTTTGTATAAATCACTTTTGAAAATTTTTACTGGAATCGAGGATGACGGAAATATGTTGCGATTCTAATCAATAGAATAAGCATAGTGGTCAACTCTATTGGATTTTCCAGTAGACTACTGGATTTTATAAGTTCTTCCTGGTCTACTGGTGTAATCAGAAATTCTCCTGGTTTTTGTATATGTTTGAAAATTCCTTAAAATTAAAAAAGTTTCAGAAGAAGAATTCTTTTCAAAATAGTTATTTAACCGCTTTATTACTTGCTTGAATAAAAAAAATTTAAATGATAATTTTTTAAATAAACATTAAGTATAAACTTAACACTGAAAAAAAGCTTAAACGTAAGACATTGACTGGAATTATATGCATTAATTTAGTTAGTAGATTTATTTATAAATGACAATTGTAATTTAAAAATGTTTAAATAATTTAAACATTGTAAAAAGTCCATCATGTAGGCTATGCGCTTATCCCTGCATTTTTATGTTACATCTTTTCTCTTTTGTAATTTGCATATTTTAAACTTATTTCAGATTTCTTAAATTTTATTAATATATATTTAAATTATTAATTTTAATTATTAAAATTGCTTCCACGGAAACTTTTTGTACTTTTTAGAAATTTATCAGTAATGAATGTCGATTGCTCTTTTATTGTTTTTTTTTCAAGTTGCTGTTTACGAAATATAGTTGTTTATCTTTATATTTTTTATACTGTCACTTTAAAAGTACCCTAAATTAGTAAGAAATTTAATAATTTTTGCTCACTAAAATCTAGGAATTAATTTTCTTTAGTATAAATTAAGATTATTATTAAATTATAATAATAAAACTTCTAAAACATTTTGAAGTTTAGTTATAAATATAAGTTAAATATTTGTATTTATTACTTCTGATTCAAGATACTAAACTTTAAGGTTTAGTTTCTCATTTAGCTATTTGATTAAAATAATGATTGAAATAGCCTTGACTCTTATTGCAAACTATTAAATGTCAGTAAGTTTATTAAGTATATATATATTTACATTTTAACTATTCAAATGAACATTCAAAACTTTATTAATGATATACACGTTAAATATAATTTTTGTCAATCATGCTTTTATTTCTTACTTTTCATTCTTAATTTTTTTTAATATTATTTTTTATTGAAGAATTTCTTATAATAATACAAATAAATTGTGTAGTGTCAGTAGTATGAAAGTTATAAATATTTACAGTTTTTTTCCGCTATAAAATTCAAAAGTTTTGATTGGTATTATCTTTTTATGCTTGATTTACATTATAAAATTTTAAATTTTTTTTATCTTTTTATTTTGTTTTACAAAATCTATTAAGTAAACATACTTAAAAAATTAATTTTTTAAAAATACAGTAAAAAAACTGAAAATTAGTAAAAATTTTAACCAAGCCAGTATTTTATTGCAAGTTGTATCATCTATTGTATTGGTAATATCTAACGAGACGTTATTAAAATAATCAGATCATGATGTACTTTTTTTTAATAACTTTGTAATAATGCCATACATTTAGTTTATGAAAAATTATTTTAGCTTTATGCGAATAAGTTTAGTTTTTATAAGTTATATTCCTTTAATAATTATTAATTCTATTTTAAAAGTATCTATACGTTGAATTTTTTAAACTTTTAAAAAGAAAAAATTATTTGCATCTTTTTTTTTATAGGCACTATTTTTAAATTTGCTTTTATTACTTTATTTGTTTTATTATGAATGATTTTTTTAAATGTTTTTTTATAGTTCAATATTTTAAAGAAAATTATCAATTTAATTCTTTTTTTTGCTGATAAAAATTCTTTTAGTTAGGCAAGTATTGTGAAATATTTTATTTCTGGAAGAAGTGTGTTAGAGATCTGATAAAAAAAAAATATTCAAAATTTATTAGCCTATTTATTTTCTAAATGCACTATTAAAGTACCATAAATGTCTTAAATGCTAGTTTTAGATTAGTTCAAGTATTCTAAAAATATTGTGTAGTTAATATATTTAATATCAAGTTAAATATATTGTGTAGTTAATATATTTATTTTAAATAACAAAACTTTTGTAGAAGTATATTTTGTGTTTTCTTTGCAGTAAGAAAAATATCTTGTTGCTAAAGAAAAAAAAATGAAGCCACAATTTCATTTAAATGTCTGTGGTTCTCACTGTGGAACTTATAAATTTTAACGAAAAAAAATTTGATGAAATCTTTTTTGAATCTTTTATTATTTTTTTACTTATATTGTACATGTGATTGTTATTAAACTATATATATAAAAAGGAAAATTGTACTGATTTGATTTACAACTTATAAATCCTATTTGATAACTGTTATAATAAAAAAAAAAACTTTTTTTAGGAAAATCACAAAACATTTCAAGTTTTAGTTTTAACCTGTTGTAAATCACTTTTACTCATATTGGCAGTAAATTATTTGTAAATAAATAAGAAAGAGTGTCTGCAAAATAAAGAAAAAGTAAATAAATATAAATCTTACTACACCTCTAACTCAGTGTGTAGTCACCTGACTATTCGATTTGTAAAATAAACTCTTATGTTTACAATTTAAATTGTTTTAAAATATCTTTATTTTGTTATTACTTTTATTTACTTATGTTTTTTTTTATTTTACATTTCAATTTATTATTGATCAGCAGTCCTAGTTTTTAATTGATATTGCTTTACATGTGTATTATCTTTGTAACAAATTGATACATTTATTACTTGAAATATAAAAGTCAGACATATGTAGTTGCTGATTTAGAAAGCAAGTTTATTTTAAGCTTTCTTTGTTAGTTTATCTTGTTAAAATCTCAGGTTTTCCATTAATTGTTTGATATGAATATGTTTATTGCTGTTATAATGCCTAGCCAAGTCAACTCTTATGTTTAACCTTTTTTTCACTTTAGGATTGTTTTAGTAAAATATTTCTTAGCAAATATTTAAAATGGTGATCTTTGATACAAAGTTTTGATCCAGTATAGAAAAATATTTGCCTTTCAGTTTTTTTCTTCATTAATACTGTTTTTTCAATCCAATTTTTGTTTTAAAAAATGTTAAAGTATCAGATTTTTTTAAAGATAAAAAAATTACTAATAATTAATGTTTTACTAACTGCTTAAGCTCATTCTTCCTTATTATTGTTAATGAAGAGCTAATAAAAAATTATTTCAGCAAGTTTATAATATTGCAGTATAAATTGCAGCTTTTAATGCTATCTTAACAGTTAGTAATAATGCTTTTCTAATTGATATTGTTGCTAACTCCATATCAGTATTAAAGCCAAAAAGAATCCAGTAGTTAAGCTTTGTCAGTCTTAAATTTTCTTTAAGGATTTCAACCAGACATAATGCATTTAATGTGTTTTCCTGAGCAATAGACCGTGAAGTTTTTCGCACTTACTACTATGTCATATAATCTAACTATGCAACTGCTTACTAATAAAATGTACAAATATTTGAGTGTAGATATTTAGAGTATTTCAACAGTCAAAGGCAAATGCTGCTGTTATTCTACTGAATCATTTTAGTTCTTAGGGATGGGCAAATAAACAATAAATTTCATCTGTTAAGTAGTTAAATATATGACTGGATTAATATCCGTTTATA